TGTTGAATAGAGCATTTTAGGATGACCATATGATACAGCAGACCTTGATCAACCCTCTGCAGCCAGCAAATTCTATGCCACCCAGAAAAAAAATATAATTATGTGAATCTCTTAAAGTCGATAATATTAATAAGAAGTATCAGTTCCCTAGTGAACAATACAAACACACGGGAATGATCTCAAAATTGTTAAGGCTCACCAAAAATTTCCAAAAGTTTAAAGTTTCCATGCTACATATAATAGATCTATAACTTGTGAGCACGTGAGAGTGGGGACCACATGCATTGATGAAACCGCGTGGAAGGGAAGTTCACGTGAACAAATTTGTGTGGAAAGAAATTGTTTAGTGGACAATAGCAAGGCCCACCCGATTGACCATTCATGCCTATTAATACCCTATGGTTGCCTAGGGTTTTCGGTGGCAAGCAGCAAGGAGCTTTGATTTTCTTTTTGCTGGCGGCTACAAAAGTGCAGCGAAGGTGAAAGTGTGCGAAGGCTGGGGAAAAGCGGCGTGCAAACAAAACCTAGGGCGGCGTGCTGCAGCAGTGCGAGAAGAAAAGGCAGAAGGGAGAAAAGGAACTGCAGGCGGCTGTTTGGTGTTCGTGCACGGAGCCAGTGCAGTCTGTTTTTCTTTCTTGGGCAGCGTGCAGCGCCGATTTGAGAGAGGTTTTTTTTTTTGTTGTGCATCCCCTTTGAGAGATTAGAGAGTTATTTGAGGGTTTAAATTGTGAGAGTTGTAAACCCATTGTATTCTTTTTCTCTTTAATAGTAGATCCCCCCCTCCTTGCCCCGTGGACGTAGGCAGTTTGCCGAACCACGTAAAATTGATTGTTTGAGTTTGTGGCCATTGTAATAGCTTTAGGATCCCTCGACAGCTCAGTCCTAGAACTGATGAGAGGAAGAGCCGATATCTCACTTGGTTGAGATATCCGCTTCAGATTCTTGTCTCCTTGGTGAGACGGGAATTCTTATTATTGATCTTTCTCTCTTATTGTGCACCAACTCTGCCGAAATTTCCACTGCGCACAACAAGTGGTATCAGAGCTCGGGCTACGCTTGGGCTATTTGGGCTATTTGGAGGAGTAGATCGCTTTGGAAGTTCATCTAGGTCTTCGTTTGGTGATAAAGGTGGGATCTTTTGGTAAAGACTTTATCTTTTCAGTTTTGGGTCTATTCTTTGTTCGTTGGTGCGTAAGATGTCGGGGAAAGAAGGTGCTTCGGGTGTCGAGGGCGGTGCTTCTGGCGCGAAGACCATTCAAAGTCTGAATATCCATTCTATGAAGATAGATGTGGAAAAATTTAATGGCACAAACAACTTTGGATTATGGAGATGCGAGGTTTTGGATGCGCTGAACGCGCAGAATTTGGAGGATACCTTGGAATTAGATGGCAAGCCAGATGAGATTGAAGAGAAGGTTTGGAAAAAGATGAATCGAACGGCGTGTGGTGTGATTAGGTCTTGTTTGACTCAAGATCTAAAATATGATGTGATGAATGAGACTTCTGCGAAGAAGATTTGGGAGATTCTCGAAAGCAAGTATTTGACCAAGAGTGTGGAAAATCGCTTGCATTTGAAGAGGAGACTTTATCGTTTCCAGTTGAAGAAGGGAACCTCCATTAGAGATCACATGAACCACTACACAAAGCTTCTTGCGGATTTGGCGAATGTGGATGTCAAGATTGAAGATGAGGACAAGGCGTTGCTGTTGTTGAGTTCCTTGCCCGACGAGGAATATGAGACCTTCGTTCTTACTCTGATTAATGGGAAGGCATCACTTTCGTATAGTGAGGTCACCGCTGCACTTGTGAATTATCAGCTTCGAAAGAAGGATAAGGAGGCTTCGGTTGAGCCGGTAGCGGAGGCGTTGGTCGCAAGAGGGAAGGGTCCAAACCGAAAGAATTGGAAGTCACAGTCTAGAGTAGGAAAAGATCAGTGTGCTTGGTGCAAGGAGACTGGTCATTGGAAGAAAGACTGCCCAAAGCTCGACGAATGGATGAAGAATAAGCAGAAGGGAAAAGGGAAGCAACCATCATCAGAAGCAAACATCGTATCGGATGGTAATAATTCTGACTCTTCTATTTATTCGCTTTCTATCAGTCCTACAGATAGCTATTCGGAGGAATCTGAATGGATGTTGGATAGTGGTGCGACCTATCATGTGTGCCCTAGAAGGGAATGGTTCTCCAGTTTTGAGAAGCTGGTGGATAGTGGTGTGGTGTACATGGCTGATAACCGTGCATGCCAGATCCTTGGGATAGGAAGAATTCGCATAAAGATGTTTGACGGGACTGTTAGAGAGTTAAACGATGTGAGATATGTTCCTTCTTTGAGGAAGAACTTGATCTCGATTGGAGCTTTGGTTGGAGAGGGTCTGAAGGTTCGTGTTGAGGACATGGTTCTCGAGATTGCGAGAGACTCTCGTATTTTGATGAAGGGCGTCAGGAGAAATAACCTGTATTACTTGACTGGAGGTATAGTGGCAGGTGGAGAGCTGACGACTTCTGTTGATTCGACTAGACTGCGGCATTTGGGGCTTGGCCATTCCAGTATTGATTCCTCGCATAGATTGAAAGAGGGTGCAAAGACCTGCAGTTTGAAGTCCAGTGAACATGTTGATTTCTAGGCGTGTTTGGGTTGTAACCAAATCCCCATTGGAGAAAGTCCTAGTAGTATCCAACAGATTGAAGAAGTGTGATATTGGCAGAAAGGTGAAGGTACTCCATTCTGGTGGGAGGTACAAGATGGACCTGTTTCTGTGTTGGAGCCGAGCTCACGGCATTTCGAGACACTTCGTTGGAAAGGAAATCTTGGGGCAACTAGATAAGGTGACAAATTTGGAGAACCGTGCCTTTCTGGAGGAGGATCGGTGTTTGTGGTCGAGCAATGGTTTGCAGAAGAGTTTCTGGACAGAGGCTTCGACATATTTGGGTCATCCTATTAAAGAGTTGTCAACTGCTATGATTGGAGGTAAAACTTCATTAGAAGATAGGTCTGGTAGTGTCACTTTGGTTGAGGCTTCGATGAGGGAGCTAATTGACTCTCAGCAGGTGGAGAGTTTTGGACAGACCTTAGAGGTATCGCAGCGGGTGGAGACTGATGCTACTCCACATTGGGTAGGGATTTTCCCACATACTCCAGGTCATTTTGCATTGGTTGGGATTCCAGCTGACGTGACACAGCGTGGAAGTCATTTGGATTCAGATGCAGATGATGAGTTGGGTTTTGATTCGAGTGCAGCTGATAGATGCAGTTTGGATATGACCATTGGTTCACATCAGGTGGAGGTGTTTGAGGCCATTGGAGGTGCTATCAGTCGCAGAGTTGATGATATTGGAGAAGGGTTGCGAACTCTTCTATTGGATTGAGGTCGTTCGCGGCCATTTGGGTGAACTACGTTCGGCTTGATTCCTTGGGCAAGATGATACGTAGGCAGTCTTATGATGCAGCCGGGTTTGGATTTTGATGGGGGTGAGATCGATTTGGTGAGTAGACATCGACGTTTGGGAGAGTGTTCGCATTCTCATTTGGGGTCTCGACTTATTATGGATTGAGTCCGTTATCGTGAATTGTTTCACTTTGTACTGGACACAACAAGTGAGGCATTTGTTTTGGTTGGTGTCGGCTCAGTTTTGGAAAACTTCACCGAGGTGGAGAATTGTGAGCACGTGAGAGTGGGGACCACATGCATTGATGAAACCGCGTGGAAGGGAAGTTCACGTGAACAAATTTGTGTGGAAAGAAATTGTTTAGTGGACAATAGCAAGGCCCACCCGATTGACCATTCATGCCTATTAATACCCTATGGTTGCCTAGGGTTTTCGGTGGCAAGCAGCAAGGAGCTTTGATTTTCTTTTTGCTGGCGGCTACAAAAGTGCAGCGAAGGTGAAAGTGTGCGAAGGCTGGGGAAAAGCGGCGTGCAAACAAAACCTAGGGCGGCGTGCTGCAGCAGTGCGAGAAGAAAAGGCAGAAGGGAGAAAAGGAACTGCAGGCGGCTGTTTGGTGTTCGTGCACGGAGCCAGTGCAGTCTGTTTTTCTTTCTTGGGCAGCGTGCAGAGCCGATTTGAGAGAGGTTTTTTTTTTGTTGTGCATCCCCTTTGAGAGATTAGAGAGTTATTTGAGGGTTTAAATTGTGAGAGTTGTAAACCCATTGTATTCTTTTTCTCTTTAATAGTAGATCCCCCCTCCTTGCCCCGTGGACGTAGGCAGTTTGCCGAACCACGTAAAATTGATTGTTTGAGTTTGTGGCCATTGTAATAGCTTTAGGATCCCTCGACAGCTCAGTCCTAGAACTGATGAGAGGAAGAGCCGATATCTCACTTGGTTGAGATATCCGCTTCAGATTCTTGTCTCCTTGGTGAGACGGGAATTCTTATTATTGATCTTTCTCTCTTATTGTGCACCAGAAACTCTGCCGAAATTTCCGCTGCGCACAACATAACTGGCCTCCAAAATATATAACAACTCCATGGAGAATTGGAGATGGCAGGCTATTTATCCTACTTTATCCAACAAAAATGTCCTGGTTCTAATTCCATTGATGCAATTGTCCTGGTTCTAACTAAAAAAATCAATTACTAACAGGCCCATCTAAAAGTTCCAGTTCCAATTCCAATTGATTAAGTAGTCATGTAAATTTTACGATTATACTTCAAATAGGAATTTATGTAGTTCATCTTATTAAAGAGCCCATTAGAATGTATAAATATGACAAGAAATGCCAATGCACTGAGATTTAGTACGCACTAAGCGATCTAATGCTCCCAGCAAAAAGGGTTTGAATCTAAAGTGAACATTATTACATTTGAAAATAAAAATGACACACTGACTAAATGGAACGCAAGTTCCATGAGTTTACCTTCTTTTTTAGCGCTCGAATTCTCTTATCAATATCTTGGCTAACGTCCTCATTTTTAGATGTCTCGAATTCACTTATCAATTCTCATACGTAGCTCCCAATCTCGATGACAACTTGAACCTGCAAGTCACCGCAACCGTCTCAATGAACAGTCTAGGCACCACCGCCATCAGACTCCAGTTCACTGCCCTCTTCCTCGGCAACTGCAGCACCCTCACCAACATCATGGCCACCAGCTTCCCCGAGCTCTGCATCGCCCCCAGACAGTGTAAGCTAAACAACTGGCTGGAGGCCCTCGTCGTCCTCAGCGGCCTGAACCAAACTGAAGACTTCCTCGACCACACCCTGGACTTCACTCGCGGGTCCTCTTTTAAAGTGTGACTTCGTCACCTCCTCCATCACTGAAGGCGACTGGGAGAAAATATTCACCTTCATCAACAATTCCCTTAGTTCTCAGACCCTCGGTGATCAGCGACCAGTCTTGTTTACCATGACAATGCTACCAATGGGTGGAGCAATGGAGGATATATCAGAAGGAGCGATACCGTTCCCTCATCGACAAGAAAACTTATACAGTATCCAATACTTTACGGGATGGTTTAGAATCGATGACCAGTCGATCCAGAAGCATTTGGATCTGATGAACAGCATATCGATATTTATGCGTAATTTCATTACGAGCAACCCGAGGCCTGCTTATTACGGATACAAGGATATCGATATGGGTAGGAACAAGAGGGTTCTTCCCAGCTATAATGACTCCATGGTTTGGAGGGAGAGGTATTTCAAGGGGAACTTCGAGAGGCTGGCGAGGATTAAGAGGGAAGTTGATGCAGGGAATTATTTTAGGAGTGAGCAGAGCATTCCGTCTTATAATTCACGGGTGGGGGTTTCAGCGTCGTCGTCGTCACCGACCTCAAACCCTTTGAGCGTGACTCTTCAGTTCTCCACCGATGCTTGTATTTGCACAAACAAACAAAGTCTTTGACTATTGCATCAACACATGCACACTACAGGTATTGGTGATTTAGAAAAACAAGTTTTCTTTCGTATTGTTGTTGCGTTCTTTGATCGATGATCCTGATGTTGTTCCAGGACAAGTTGAGAGTGTTGTGAGTGATTTAAATAAAACGAGCTTGCCACTTCTGCTGTTGAAAAAACAAATAGATTTCTTACTTGGTTTGTTATTGTTTCCACATTTCCCAATCTTTGTATATCAACAGGATTCTCAGTTTTCAGTTTCCCAGATTGCGCTTGATCCAAGTCTTTAGCCTTGTCATCTGATGAAGCAAGAGTAGCCTGAAAATCAGACTGTTTGATTAGATATTCAAAGAAACTATTGGGATATAGATGGAAACTCACATACATTACTGATCATGAAAGATAAACATAAATAAAATAATAACATGTGTAAAAAAAAGCAGTCGGATGATGAATAACCTCTCAAACTTCAACCTCAAATGGCCTCTTTATGAGTATTCTGCTAGTCTTATCCAACAACCCAATAATAAATAGCCAATGAACATCATGCATAAATATATTAACTACATTACATGAAAATTTCATACAAAATATTGTCTGCTCAGTTTCTTTTACAGAACAAATATTTCTTCCATCAATTTTCTACATGACCTTTCAAATTGTGAGTCCTCAATCAAAAGATTCAATCCTTGCATTTGGCTTTGCTCTCTACTTATTTTCATGCACCTTTTACTTCAGCCAATCCTTCAGACAACTTATGCTACATTATTATGTCAATTGAATAATTATTGAATTTCTCTTTCGCATACCAAAATGAATTCTCAAGGGTTCTGTATTGAGTAGAGCCCAGAGACTGATACTAAGATCAAAGAAAATGCTATTACAAATCAACATATCTATATCTACACTAAGTCTAAACTCTGAAGATATGTATATTTTTTCAATTAGTCATACTTTTCTAGTTCTGAATGCTTCAGGACATCATAGGATAATTATAACACCACTCCCTCAATAACTCCTATCATTATTAGGTTTCTCATCTGTTATTGAGGCTTCATCCTATAGGAAAATATATTAAGAAATCTCAAATCTACAGTAACAGAGCAGAATCTCTTTCCCAGGAGCACTATCAAAAGTCCACAGAAATCCTGTAGTACTCGGAAGACAAAGCTGCAAAGACATATTTTTTATGGCTATGATTGTGATGTTGGTGATATATCCTTGTTAGTTTCACATAATTCAATAGCTTTCCTCAATTCTCAAAATTTTACCGGTAAATCCCATCAGCATACTACGAAGGAGCATGCAGAAACAACACCTAACATGTGGTACGCTAGTGTATAGCATTTAAATGTAGTTAAGAATATCAATCAATATTTAATACAATTGGCCTCCAAATCTACAGTTTAGTTTTTAGAGGCATGAAATTTTAAGAATTATTAAGAGCATCAGTCAAAGATCTCTCAAATTTTACCTTGCCATCTCAGCTTGCCTCTTCGGCTGCTCAGCAATCTCAGCATTTAAATGTAGTTAAGATTATTATTTTGTCATGAGCTGATTCTATTGCATCAACACTTGGCTTGTGAGCCCCATATTTGTTTATCGGAAAGTTCCTTGCAGCTTGAATTTCTTCTTCAGATGCCTCTCTACTGATTCCAAGTTGTTTATAAGGGTCCTTTACGTTAATCCTTGGAAAGACACCTGAATTGCTGAATCAACAAAGAAAGATTAAATATTATTGTCGTCATATTTATATTGGTGTAAATGGCTTATAAGAGAGTAAATGATGCACATACAGAATCAAATATTCCCATTTCATATTATATTTTTTCCTGATGGATATAATACAAAATGGTCTGCTGACTGGTGACCCCAAGATATATATATATTATAAAATATATATATAATATATATATATATATATATATATATATATATATATATATATATAATATATATATAATATATATAAAATAAGGTTAGATTTGGTTTTGATCTTGATACTAATTGGAGAGTGAATGCATGAATAAATCTAAAAGTGTGGAAGGTATAAAAAGATTCAACCTCCAACTTTAATCTATATGCTGTGAATAAGTTTCTTTCGTTTGCATAGATATTGTCATGTGGTCTTATTAGGCTAGTCCTGGCTGAGAGAAACTGTATCATTGTTTGTAATACGCATATACTTAATATAACATATCTCGTAAATATTATGCGTGATGTTCGCAACACCAATACAAGCATTCATGAGAAACTAAAAGAAAGAGCGTATCTACCGTTGAATCATCAGCCATTCACCAAATGCAGCATATATGCTGCTCTTTATCCTGACAGGTCTTCCAACCAAAACTCTGCCGACTGTCATAGCCCAAAACTATTTCCTACAGTAAGTGTAGTGACCCCAAGGAACTCAAAGTAAGAAGCTTGTCGATTGAAAATCATCAAAAGAAAACTAAGTTAAAAAGGTTTGAGAGAAGCAAATGCCATTATGCGTATTACCTATCCGTATGAGATAAAAAGCTCAACTTCAGCTAATGAACCCATTAAGAATCGAAGGAGGAAGAACCAACAGAGAAATTAGAACCTCTTCGCTCGGCCCGCAAGCAGGATATCTTTTGGAATTAAAACGTTAAACCAGATAAGACATCTTAGACTACATAAATGAGCCACAAAATGCAAAAAAAACTCAGGTTTAGCTTTACTTGAATTTAGGAAGGGGAGGGGTAGGGTGGATTTTATTTTACAAAATTACATAACGATGACATGCATCATAGCGGTTAAAGATACCTCCTTTGTGTTTGGAGAGTTCAGCCCTCAGCGCCCCATTGACTATTCGGAGGCGTATATCTTTAAACCCTATATCATTTAGAATCAAACATGAAGCTATAAATTGCAATGGAAGCCCAAATTCCTTGTTTCTATATTATTAGAAATGCCCAAACATCCTATTTTTATATATGCAAATCACCAACTCAAAATATTTACCAAAATCAAGTGAATTTCCTCCTTGGCAAGTGCGCAAAACTCCGCATAATCCCCTCCCGACCCTCCGTCTTGTGCAGGCTAAAGCCACCAACGACCTACTCATTCACAATCCCTTCACACACACCAAAAATCAAAATCAGAAAAAGAAAAATTACAATCGTGCCATCAAGAAGCATCAAAATCGAAAGAAACACTACCAGACCCCCTCCCGGAGAAAATCTCTCCCGACGATGCCTCTCTCTCTCTGAGAGAGAGAGAGAGACTGACGACGGGATTGACGAGACCATCCCCCTTCTTGGAAACGGAGTGGATTCGAACGAACCGGGCTTTCACCCGCCTTTTGTGGACGAAATTGACGTAAGAAGGTAAGGTAAAGCGGCTAAATAATGTATAGAGAGCGGCGTAAAGGAAACTGAGGAGAGAGCGATTGATGACGCGGTGGGGCGGAGCAGGGCGGCGGACTCCCCCGTCGTCAATATAAATATGACGACAATAAATATTTAATCTTTCTTTGTTGATTCAGCCATTCAGGGTTTTCCAAGGATTGACGTAAAGGACCCTTTATAAACGACCTAAATGGGGGCGGGGGGGGCGGGCGGGGGGGCAGAAGGTGGACGGGGGGCGGGGGGGGGCGCAGAAGAAGGATTAAATGAGGGCCAGAGTTGAGAAACAGAAGAATCTGAGAAGACGTAGATGGGGGTGGGGGTTGCGTAGTGGGGGACAACCATTTGTGGTGGCGATGATGATCAGTCGATCGAATTGTAGAATTTTGTGGAGTCCTCGCCGGCCGTTGTGCAGTTATTGAGGGATGAACAGATATTAGAATGATTAATCGAGGGAGATGAAGAGGTAGATGTGCGAAAGAATTCAGAGAGATGAGGGAGCTGCATGTTATTGAGAAATGGAAGAATCGGAGATGAAGAGGCAGAGGGGAGCGGTGGAGCTGAGAATGATAAAAGAGGGAGAGGAAGAGGCAGATGACATAGGATAGGCCATTGCTGTTTAATTAATTAAACCAGTAATTAAACCAGTAATAACAATTAAAAATCTTAATAATTTTAAACATTGATTCAATAGGATTCAATAGGATAGAAATATAGGATAAATTTATAATTAAGTAAGTTGGTAGGGGCAAAATGGTCATGTAAAAGTTTTGACAATGGTTTTCTCTTTTAGAAGTAGTATATATATGTATAGATTAAGAGGGGCTAGCATCCATAAGATTTGATCATAAAGTTGGTCGGCGGTTGTGAATAATTTTATGTCTTTGATAAGTTTTATGATGCTTTTATATATTGTTCAACAGGTCTCATAAAAAAATGGAGTTTATGGCTCTTTTGTTTGCTTTCTGATGAGCTTCCTTTTCAGATATTTCTTTCTTTTTATGCTTTCAAGCAGCAGTCATGTTTCCTTCCATTTGTTTCAAAGGCCACTTTTGACTTAATTTTGTGTATTGATGTGCCACAAGTTCTTCCTTCCCTCATTTGTTTTCTTTTCTGGCATAAACATGATTTCTTCCTTAGTTTTGTTTCTTTCTTATTTATCTACATCAAGTTCTGTCAAATGAGAAGTTTCTTGGTATACTTCTGCATCTCACTTCTCCAGGCTATATTATTGTTGCTTTAGTGGACTCTTGAATTTATTAGGGCATGTGGTGGGCACAAAACATGCCTACTTGCAAGTTTTTTATTTTTCCCCCCTTCTTACACATGCCCTTTGTTTCTGCTGTAGGATTTGTACAAGCTGCTCTGTTTCACGTGGCAGGTTTCTGTTACACCATCAGCTTTGGATACTCTTAATACACGGACAAATTTTCAAAACCGACCCCTTGGGGTTTTTATTTGCAAAAAACGACCGGTTTTGAAAATATTTACAAAAACCGACCCCAGGGGCTGAAAACAGGTCGGTTTTTGAAAATTTTTTTCCCAAACTTCACGGGAGTTGAACTCCCGTGAAGTTTTTCTCATAACAAAACTTCACGGGAGTTCAACTCCCGTGAAGTTTGGGAAAATTTTTTTCAAA